CCCCAAATTTTGGTATTAAGTAAACCACTCCCGAAGCCCCCTTTTTTTTTCAAACCGTGATGCACCCATGCTACCCCCCGGCTAAGATAACTGCAAACAAACACCACTAAGTGCCGATAACAATGTTGGAAAAAGGGTGATGATCAAGGAGATGTCATGAAGCAAATTTTCCCATCCTCTCTGCATAAACTCATATGAAAATCAAGGCCTGTCGTGTCAAGTCATGTCTTCGCTCGTTGCTCAGTCTTTTCCCATGCCCCGTTTGTTGGCATCTTATTCGGCCTTGTGCTCCAGGGACTGCATGTCCGGAACTTGGAGGCCGCCATTGGTAAGAGTCTGCTTGGGAATAATAGGGCTCCCATGGCGGCTGCTGGCAAACTGTTGCAAATAATGCGTTAGCTTCTCACTATCAATGACTTGGTGTACATCAACTTCACTTACGTTGCTGGCAGCACTAAGCAGCGCAATCAGCGAGCTCTGGACCACATCCTCGTGGATGCCCACTCCCCAAACCTTCTCTTCCACACCCGGGGCCACGCACTCGATGAATGTCGCCGCCTTGACTTCCCGTCCCCGGCCGACAGCATGCTCCTTGTAGTCCTGGACATCCAAGTCAATACCAATGGTTCGGAGAGCGTTTGCGGCACTGGAGATCGGACCGTTGCCACGGCCGCGGAGCTTGTACTCTTTGCCGTCAATCAAAATGACACCCTCGAAGACTCTCATCAGATTCTTAGTATCCTGGGTCTTGCCGGGGGCCGGAGGTGCGGGAGAGGCGGAACGGTCGGGGTTGATGTTGTAGTCAACAATGTTGAAGCGGGAGTTCTTGTCAAGGTGGTAAGTCTCCCGGAAGAGGTCAGTAATCTCAGTGGGAAGGAGCTCGCGACCCTTTTGCTCCGCCATAGCCTGTACGACCTTGGCGAAAGCGACTTGCAGACCACGTGGGAGGTCCAGATGCAGGTTTTGCTGGATAACCCAAGCGGCACCGCCCTTTCCAGACTGCGAGTTGACGCGGATGACGGCCTGGTAGTCGCGACCAATATCCTTGGGGTCCAGAGGGAGGTAAGGAATCTGCCAGTGGTCGTCGTACTCCTTACCCTCCTTCTCCCGGATTTGGAAGCCCTTCTTGATAGCATCTTGGTGAGATCCGCTGAAAGCGCACACCACCAGAGACCCACCGTACGGCGCACGTGGGTGAACCTCGATCTTGTTGCACTCCTCCACTGTCTTGATGACCTTTTGGAGGTCCGAGAAGTCGATGTTGGGAGTCACGCCCTGTGTGTAAAGATTGAGGGCAAGAGTGACCAGATCAACGTTTCCTGTCCGCTCCCCATTGCCAAACAGGCACCCCTCTACTCTGTCGGCACCTGCCATCTGGGCCAGCTCGGCCGCAGCAACCGCACAGCCGCGGTCGTTGTGAGGGTGAAGGGACACGCAGATCTTCTCGCGCTCGGAGATGTTGCGGCAGAAGTACTCGATCTGGTCGGCATAGACGTTTGGGGTGGACATCTCGACGGTTGCCGGGAGGTTGAAAATGATGGGGTTCTCCTTGGTTGGGCCCCATGCCTCCTTGACAGCCTCGCAGATCCTGACAACAAATTCTGGGCTGGTATCCGAGAAAGTTTCGGGACTGAACTCGAATGCCCACTCGGTACCCGACTGCGACGGATCGTCCTTGGTCAGTGACCGTACCAGAGCCGCACACTTGGAAGCAAGAACCACGCTCTCATCTTCCGAGAATCCAAAGATAACCCTCCGGAAACATTCGCTGGTAGCGAGGTAGATGTGGACAATGGCCTTCTTGGCTCCCTTCAGCGAATCGACTGTGCGGCGAATGAGGTCCTCTCTGCAGGGCGACAGGACTTGGAGCCAGACATCGTCGGGTACGGCGCCCGGGGTCTCGATCAGACGTCTTGTGAAGTCGAAATCGGTCTGGGAAGCGGAGGGAAAGGATACTTCAATCTCCTTGTAGCCGAGCTCGGTGAGCATCTGGAAATAACGCCATTTTTGATCACCGTTCTGTGCAGGGAACATCGTTAGCCGAACTGTTGTCTAGCAGTCGGACTCCAGACATACCATGGGGTCAACCAGACTCTGGTTGCCGTCTCTCAAATCTGTTGCCAGCCATCTTGGGGCCTTCTCGATGACTTTGTCTGGCCATTGACGGTCTGGGAGGTTCAGAGGTTGGAACCTCTTGTACTTCTTGGAGGGATCCTTGAGCCTACGACACCACAAATTCCCCGGTTAGCCATTGTTTTCCGGATTTGAGTCTTGTGTTTCGTGGCACTAGGGAAAGCTGTCCTGCTGTGTTCTGCTGCCATGTTCCATAGAAAACAATGGGGTCAAACCTGGAAACTTACATAGGCATGGTGGACGAGATGCGGGGTGTTGAATCAAGAGGTGCTTGATGGATGCCTTGCAACGGCCTTTAGGTGCGACGGAGGAAGTTAAGCTGCAAGTAGAGTGGGCCGAGAGCAGTAGGTGTACTGTGATTTGCAATTGAGAGGGACCAGACACCTAGAGCTTGTGGAGAGAGACTCTAGGTATTTATTATTCGTAGGGCCCAGGGAAGATTCTTGATAAATTGGCGGACAAGTGCCCGTTGAAGTTGGGATGAGAAGCAGCAAGAAACAAAAAGGTGTGCCTAGGTGGTAGGTAGGTAGATATGGAATATATGGACAATGGAGATCTAGGTGGACGGGTAGATCATGGATACTTAAAGAGACGAAACAAGCTGGCGGGCCTGAGTCATTCGAGGTGAGTCCCCGTAATCGTCACGGCGCAAAGACCGGCCAAGGGCGCCCGAGAATGCCACTACCGCAAAACAAAAGAGGAAAGCATGGGACCCAGCCGAGGGGTTGCCGTTGCCATTGAGTGCCCAGCGTTCGCCCGAGTCCCGTTTTTCATACATAAACGCCCTCCTGGGACTCGCCACCAAATCAACGTCCGCCAGCAAGCACGCCAGCTCGGTCGGCAGCCGGTTGAGGGCTTGCCGTAAAGAAGAGATGCGCCCTTGAGAACACAGCACATGATGGACAGATACCTGAAGTTTGAAAGCAGAAACCATGGATTGGCGGGGTCGTGCAGTTGATCCCTGTCCTACCCCAGCACCGAACCCGAACCCCTCCACTAGCAAGCCAAGAACCAATAACGTCGACTCCTTTGCCTGCCCTGCACAAACTTTTTTTCTTTCTCTGCAACGCTCTGCCCATCCATGGCCCGCGTGGGCGGGTTGACGTTGAGGCCGACCTGCTTTTGGCCTTCTGCCTTTGCAGGTCAAATAGCAACTGGAACGAAGCCTCTGATCCCCATCCGATTCGTCACCGATCACCGGTCAACCTCATGCTCCCAGCGGAAGAGGGGTTCCCCGGCCTTGGAGGGGCATCAGAATCCACCTACGTAAAATGTGGACCCTCCGACCTTTCAACGGCCGCTGGAAACCGAACAAGCATCGGATGGCGCCATCAACTCAACACTCACACATGGGACTCTTGACCACCAGTCATCAGCAATATCCAAGTGCATCACCCGTCGACGGGTTTTATATCTCCTACATGCGCCATGTCTTCTCGCGACTACACTAGAACACCCAATGCCGAGCCCCGCAAGCCTCACCGGCTACCGGCACATCACCTTTTGGCACTTCCCGTTCCCGAAATCACCAGAGAATACCTACATCCTCGACTGCATGCTGCAAACAGACCGCGACATACGGCCCCTTTTCCGCTTCCCGTGTCACCTACCTTTGCCCCTTTTCTGTCCTACCCATCCAGCTGCTGAAATTATCACCGAAATCCTGTTTTATATGACCTTCAAAACCAGGTTCCCCGAGCCCCCAAGCACGGCTGAACAGACCAGTACCAAAGACGTTTACCCCACGAAACGGCACGGAGACGTTGCAACCTGCATATAACCACCAGCTTGCAACTATTCCCGCTGTCGATCAATGCTACTCAGGAACATCTGATCTGATACATTGCTGATCGTTAGGGTTGTAGTCGAAATCAACAGCTGAAGTGGCTGTACGTAATCGACTTATACATGGAGGTCCTTGCCATGTGGTTGTGTAAGCCGAAGTCGGAGTTGGCTTGTATAAACGTCCATTCTGGGATATGTCGTGCTCGAGACTGAAGGCTTTGTGACGTTTGTGGACATATTGAGCCGTGTTTTTCGAGAATGGTGACAATGGGTCATGAAACTTGGAACACGATATGTCGAGTTACATCACGACGATGGAAAGCCGAGCCCTGCAGCCCCGTGGGCTTGATGTCAAGTGACGGAGCTGTCAAGTACCAAACTGAAGGGCGAATTGACAACAGGGCAGGATGTTGGGTTTACCAATCCCTTCATGTCTTCAATTTAGGCATGTTGTAAATTCAGAAATCAAATTGAAGAGACCTCTGGTGTCATAGTGTTAAAGCCGAACTCCATGACATCCGTCTGTCAAGAGTTTGAAGTTCAGGTAGCAGCCTATCACATTCACAGGAACACGTTCAAGGATAAAACACGTACCTGAGTTGAACTCTTCAGACGTCGGGCAAAAGACAGATGTTTGCGTGGCATCAGCGAACATCATTGGACGTCGTATATCATGAAATTGAGAAAGAAGACCAGAGATACAGTAATTCATATCAATTATCTTGCCTCTCCATATCTAAGCCATAAAGCCATTCGCTTTCTGCGTGTCAAGCCAAGGCCCGTCTATAGGGTATATAAAACGCTCTTTCCCCCCCTCCCCGTTATCCAGCAACATCATACACAAAAGCACCCTTCATGTCCTGTTATTTACAAAACAATCACACAAAACCCAGTGATAAACCACCACCCACCCAAGAATAAAAAGGCCAAGGGAATAGAGAAAAGAGAAAGAATGTTAACCCCCTATCCTATCCGAATCACCAAGCCACCCACCCTCCCAAAGCAAATAAATACCATCGAAGTGAACCAACCCCCCAACCCCCCAACCCCTACTGTCCTGCTCACTACCAAGTAAAGCTCTCCTCCACAAAATCCACCACCGTCCCCAACCCCTGCATCCCCCTAACAGCACCCCTAACATCATCCCCCAACCCCCCCGGACCGCAAACCCCAACCACCATCGCCCCCATCTGCTCATCCTGCTCCTTAGCCAGCAGCGTGACCACGTTCGGCCTGCCCGGCAACTTTTGCACCGTCCCGCTCGTGCTCAGGACATTAACCCCCATCGCTGTCTTTGGCCTCGTCACAAAGATCTTGATCCGGAGGATCTCTTGCCTGTTGGGGAGGCGCAGGATCTGCTCCATGTAGGGGTGGATCCACTCCAACACCTCGTGGTCGCGCACGATCCAGACGAGGGTGATCCGACGGGTGCAGGCGGTGCGGTCGTTGCAGCCGTTGATCAGGTGGCGGATGTAGGAGAGTTGGTGGGTGATTCCTGTTGCGCCGGCAAAGAGGACTACGTGCCCGTAAGAGTCGAAGCTGTGGTGGCCGGCGTAGGGGCCTTCAAAGGCTGCTCGGAGGGTGAGGGCTCCCAAGGGGGAGGCACGGGCGGTGTTGTAGAGTTGGCGGGTGAAGCCTGTGTGGGCGCCTATGATGAAGCTGACGGTGGTGGAGGTGGGGGTTGTTCCCGGGGGGTGTTTTTCTGAGGAGGATGAAGAAGAGGAGTAGGTGGGGAGGGAAGAAGGAGAGTATGTATGCTCGAACCAGGCGATGGAAAAGGGGTGGTTTTCCCAGGGTTTGAGACCGGCAAAACGCAGATAGGCGTGCTGGCCGGGTCTGACGGGGATGTGCCGTGGGAGGTGCATCGTCACTCGGCAGGCCTCGCCGGGCATGGGCTCGACCGTCGCGGTGGTATAACCCCTAGACGACCGGTTGGCATAGGCGAGGCGGATGACGCGGGCGAAGCGCTCGGCGCCCCAGAGGATGAAGATGGCGAGGACCCAGGGGATCTGGGGGAGACCGCCGTGGACGGTGGCGGAGACACAGTGGATCCAGGTGCAGATGAAGGCAACGAGGGCGAGGATTATGTGGGTGTTGAGAAAGGACTCGTAAAAGGCGTGGCGGACGGGCGAAAGGGAGAGGACGAGGATGACGAACATGGCGACGACGCCGACAGTTCCAGAGCTGATGAAGCGGTCGTAGAGGATCTTGTGCTTGACACCCTCCCAGCCGTCGTCGGCTACTTGGACGACAGCCCAGGCGATGAAGTGGATGAGGACCTCGAAGACGGACATGCGACCCATCCATCGGTGGAGGAGGTTGTAGGTGTCGAAGCTGATGTTGAGAAGGCCAATAAGGGGGTTGTTGCGACCGGCAAAGATGATCAGGGGGATCATGTTGACGACGGAGAGGGTTCCTGATCGGCCACGAATTTCGGCACAGAGGGCGTACTTGTTTGCTTGTTGCCAGTCGAGGACGAACATGTATGCGAGGTTGCTACCCAGGTATACGAGGAGGACCGCTGCTTGGAGTCTCGATGGGAGAGTGCCCATGTTGACAGCGCTGGAGAGCTGGATCTCGCGGTTGTGCCTCTTCTTCCATAAGGGGGCGTAGATGAGTGACCTCTTCAGACCGGGCATCCAACTCCATTGCTTGACCTTCCAGAAATGCTGCTGCCTCCCCTTCGTATTCATCGCCGAAACCAGCCGTAGCTTGGCCCACGCCAACTGTCCTATCCTGATGAGCAGTATCATTACCCCCAAGCCGCCCAATGTCCACCATAGGATGTCGGTGAAGAGCATGTTGTTTGGCTGATTGACGCCGTTGAGACCTGTATTATAGGGGGTGATGGTAGGGTTGGATATTGGTACTTCTTGGGTATTGGTGATTGTTGGTATTGTGTCTCGTAGCTGAAGTAGTGCTTCGGGAAAAGTGAGGTCTGGATCAGCGATCCCGCGCCGGGTATGGTCCATCCTGGGACCACGCATCTTGATGGTTGGGTGGTGGAATGGAAGATTGAAACGAAGTCGAAAAAGTCGAAGTGATCGTGATCGTCAAACAGATATGGAATTGCTCCAATGCGCCCAGTGACTTGCTTCTTTTCCCAGCGGTTTGTTGTCACTGAACCGCAGTGGGTGAATCCGCGTCAAGATTGGACGTTAGGCCACATACATTGCTATTGTGTGGCCAACAATGGAGAGGGAGGGACAATAGGACGAGAGGAGCAGGTCCCCTGCCCTCGCGTGCTCTTGAGGGCCACAACAAGGAAGAATCCCCCGGTGGACAGGCAACCTCCAGAAAGGATTGGTGACCCTGTGTTGATAAAGGAAGCTTTGACCAGGATCGTCAGGTCGAAATTGAGACCGTCGTCGAGGCCGTCCTTGACTTGGCGCCGAAACGCCGGCACAGATCTGGAGATGTCACTAATTATTGGCCCAGCGCAATCGCAACGGTCTCTAGAAACGAGGCTAGAAAGTCGCCGGTCTGGTTCGTAACCTGGGGTAATAATTTTCGTGGTGCCTGCTGTGGGCGGAGACAATGTAAACAAGCCGGGTGGATGACCAGGTCGTGTGCCGACTGCCGTACTGTTGTCGAGAAAAGTCAATTGTTGTTGGCTCCAAAAGACAGACAATAGAGATTGCCCACGGGATTCCAAGTGAATGTGCTTTTGTTGGCCTGCACAAGTGAACCAGAGAGGGCATACAAGAAACAAAGAGAGGTTATAACCGTGGAACTCGCGTAAAGAAGTGTGCGCGAGAGCTCCCAGAGATATATGTCGAATGATGAATTCCAAAATTCGTGGGGAGGATCGCTCAAACGAAGGGAAGTGGGCGAGGTGAGAAGAGACAGATATCGTTCGGTTCGAATTGCGAAATGCCGCCCTTTTCTCTTTCAAGTCGTCCCTCACACAATAACACAGACAGCCAGACACAGTCCGACTCTGGTCCGTGTACCGAGTGACTGAAGCACCGGGCTAGAAGGCAAACCAAGATGGTCCCGATAGAAGGGATGGGAAAATGGGCCGAGGGTAAGGAGATGATAGTCGGAGGGCAACACAGACTCTCCAAAGTTTAAAAAACAAAAGGCAGGAAACTAAAAAAGAGAAACCATCGTGGCAGCACTGGAGTCACTTGACGGCACCATCCGAGATATGTACGGGATCCAGGTACGTGATGTGGCATCTGCCCATCTGCCTGCCATCTCGCATCTTGCCCCTGAGTGAGCCGCAGAAGCGAAGGGCCAAAAGGGAACATGTTTTTGCGGCGCGACCAGCCCATTCTGGCTGACAGAACTTTGGGCAAACTGTCCCCGGAGTTCCTTGCCACTCGCACCCTATCAAGACCAGGCGGAGGGCCTGCATCCAGACCGAGCGGTCTTGAGTGGTCATATCCATGGGCTGGCGGTGGAAATGGTTGGTGTTGTCCAGGGGCAGGGTGGAAAGCCAAGACATGACGACCATGTCGTCGGTGTCTTGCTCAAAGCGATTTCATAGGGCGCGGGGCAGCAGCAACGGGATTCAGAAGTTGAGGTAGCTGAGCCATTGGGAGCTTCTGATTGGTCCAATGTTTTCCAGGGCGTTTCTCAAACCCCTGCCCGACAGTCTGCCCCGCCAAGAAAACAGCTTACCTACACAAACAATCAAGACACTAGCCCTGAGGTGCCAAGTATTACCGTCGCCAAGTCATCGAGAAGACGGCTGGGAAAGTAAAGGACGGAAGTTCTGTAAATATGAGACGTCCAAGATCTCTTGTCAAGTCTCTTACGGCCCGGTCTCCAAGCGATCAATATTCTCCGACTCGACTCTCACCATCGCGGATGTTCACCGTGCTTACAGCATACTGTCATCCCATCACTCACCGCACAACTGGAGGATCGCCGTTCCGTCCCACAGGCCTCCCTACTTCTGCATCCCTGTGCCACTGGCACTGGCTTGAGAGAGCGACAAACTGGCCTGCAGGCTTAAGGCAGGTACCCGGGTGTTCCCATTTGCCATAAACCAAGGACTTGGAAATCGTCAAAGAGTCGGGATGACAGAGTTTGGTGATGGGCAGTAGTGAGGCCTGTGGTGATGTGATGTGGCTGGGGGCGCCATTTTTTCAACCTTATGCGTTTTTTAAATCGCTCCCAGGCACCATCAACCTAATCGGAATGTATCCCTTCCTGGGAACGGAACACTCTTGCACGTTTTAGCATGTTTGTGGCGGAAGCTGCCGAAGGAGGGCAAGTTAAACTCTGCCTCGTCCAACTTCCAAGAGCCCGCGCGCCGGCACGATTTTGGATACCGAGGCCAAAACACACATGGCACACCACACACACGGCGCAATCAATATTTCGACCAAGCTAACATTTGCACGCGATCCCTCGGCGCTCGCTTCGATCAATGGTGGTTGTTGTACGAGCATCAAGCCGAGGGCTGTATTTACTGTTCCAAGGAGCTGTGGCCCACGGCTTCCGGAAATGACTGCGTAACCGCTGTCTGTTCGTATTCTGTTTCGTTACACCCTGTGAGATACTGTGGTGGCGAGGTGGTGGACTCTTTTACCAATCCTCGACGAATCTTACCATATCGGCTCGGAGGCTATGTTTCCATGCTTGGAAGATCATCTAACAGGCCGTTGTCGAAGCCGAGCCCAGATCTGTTCACCGTATCCGATATCCCGGGAAGGCCGTGGAAGGTAGTCAAGTTGCTTTCAGACATCGAGGCTGATCAAAAATGATATCTTTAGCTTAGGCCTTGGTTAAGCTGTGAGTTTGCCAACATGGCCGACAAAGAGTGATGGAGGTCTCAATCTTGGACTCGATACACTGGTGATACGCGTAGAGATCTGTGCTTCTGCTATGACATGAGACTATCCATGCTTGCCATTTGCGGATCGGTTTACGAGCTTGACCAGGCAGCCGGGATGAACTTGAAGAACTATAGTGTCAATACCATGACATTAGATTGTGAGAGCCAGGAAGACATATACGGAGATCCTGCTGAATCGGCAGTGCTGTCCAGTTTAAGAAAGCGCCACGTTTTATTAAACCAAGAGAATAGGAATGAATCGCAGAGCGCGAGATGGGATCTGATCACTATACTCCGTAAAACCATAGGTGTTGAGATGAAGTTGATAAGGCCCAAGCGTCATCCCACCTCTAGCTTACACCCCACAGTGCCAACACCGTGCCCCAAACACCGTAATCCCGTCATCGCATTGGCCGGAAATTCCCGCCAGAAAGTAAAGCCGGAATTGAGATGCCAAGCCCAACCCGGGAACAGCATCACGAGTGAGACTGAATTGCGCCGACGACGACGAGCTCGCCAAAAACCCTCGAGGGACCCCTTGATACTCGATAGTATCCCACCCAATCGCCCACCTAATCTGTGCGCCGCCCCGTACAACCAGACAATCCCTCACAATGGGCTCGAGCTCGTCCAAGCCAGCGGCTACCGCTCCCCAGACCTGGAAGGCGTATGTCTCTATTTACTTTCCCAGCTCACGAAGCTCTCAGCAGTAGTCCGGTTAACTGACGTTATTTTCTACAAACAGCCCCGGCTCAGCAGGCCTCTCCACCGAGCTCGTCCAGCACCTCCATTCCTCCCCCGAGGTAAGCCACCACCACCACCACCACCACCACCCCACCATATCTCCTTGCTCCCTCGAAGCTAATTCTCTTCCCCACAGACCGACGCCTCCCGCCTCCAGGCCATCGAGCTCGAGATCCAAGCCCGCGTCGCCGCCGAGCTCAAGCGTCTCCGCGACCAAGAATCTGAAGCCCTCCGCGCCGCCCAGGCCAAGCTTGCCGAGTCGACTGACGACAAGACCGCCGACGACAACTCCAAGACTTCGTATACTGTCTCCAAAGAAGTGCAAGCTCTCCAGAAGAAGCTTGAGGAGCGCAAGAGGATCCGGTCCCAGCTGCCGGAGAGCCTGGAGAATGCTCGGTCTGGGGTGGTGAGGTGCTTGAGGGAGAATGACAGGCGGCCGTTGGACTGCTGGAGGGAGGTGGAGGCTTTTAAGGAGGAGGTGAGGAGGGTGGAGAAGGGGTGGGTTGAGAAGGTTGTTAGTTAGGGGTGGTAACGAAGTTGGTGGTCGGAGGGAAACGAAGGCAAGGGGCCGAGAGCGGTGTTCATAGAGGGATTAAAAACGAGGTGAAGATGACGAACCACCCAGAGTTGGCTTTGAGAGCACTGACCAAGGGGTGTCAAACTTGTATCATATGGAAGGGTGCCGAGGGCTGGTGGGAGACATCACTCAGTCGAGGCTTAAAAGTGAGCAGCTATAGACAATGGACTGGAAAGCAAGGCAAGCAGGCGTTCAAATTGCATTTCACCAACCCCAAAATTGATGAAATGTTTCAACTTTAGCTTGTTTATTTTACAGAACCTCAGGAGGCTCAAGTATGATTCCTATACCACCCTCCTCACTTTGCTGCTCCTTTTCAGTCGTCTCCTGCTTCCCCTTCTCAAGTTCCTGTTTTCTCCTCAGCCCCTCCGACCGCTTCCTCTCCCTCCTTGCGTCTGCATCCTCCCATCCATCCTTCTTTTTAGGTCCCTCCTCAAACCACCCCTTCAGTGCCTCCCTAAACCTCCCAATCCGCCTCTCATTCTCCTTGAACAACTTCTCACTATTTCTCACCACCCGGTCCAAGTACCCCCTCCCAACCACCGCCCTCCTCACCCCATCCGTACCTTCCACCCCGATCAAGCTCTCAAAACTCAACCCCATCGACCTGACAGCAACAACAGGGTTGTGGTCGTCGTCCTGTCGTGAAAGTAAGCTCACGGCGCCCGTCTCTCGAAAGCCAGCCTCCATGCCCGCCTGGATGACCTTTTGGGCGTGGGAGTGTGATGCCGTTAATACATGTAAAATCTAATCTTGTTAGTCCCTTTCATCATGAAAAAAAAAATTTGGGGGTGAGATTACCATGGGCTCAAACTTGAAGTGCACCATTCTCCCCTTCTCGTCACCCTCTCCCCCTTCCTGACCCTGCAACGACACCAACCCAAACAACGATTCATACCCCCGCTCCAGCTGTCCAGGCGGCAACGAAGAGATGGGATCATGGCTGACAAACAGCCACTCCCCGCCTCCCTTCCCCCCAGCACTCGAACTCCTCACCCCTCCCGCTGTTGCTGCTTCCTCCCGCTCATCTTGTGGAGAGGTACCAGTAGAGCGGCCTTCGAGGTAAACGCTGACTCTGCCCGCACAACTGCTTGTTGTCACGAGCCCTTCCCGGGCGTTGATTTCGTCGATGAGGTCGCGGATTCCGACATCGACGGATCCTTTGGGCGAGAGGTCGGTGTATTCTGCGTCTGGGACGGAGAGCGCAGACAAGATTTTGGTTTTGCGGTTGGTGAAACTTTGGGAGGGGGGAGGGAGGGGTTTGGGTGGTTTTGACATTTTGATTCCGAAAAAAAGGAAGAAGGGAGAGTGAAAGTGAAAAATTTGAGAGGAGTGCTGATGTGAGTTCGAGGTGTGAAAGAAGGTTGAAGAGTTGAGGGTCAAAAAGAAGTGGGTCACGTGTGGTGGGTTGGGAGGTTGAACATTCGAGGTTGACAATGACGCTCAAACCCCTACTTTCACTGCTGCAAAATAAAAGCTAGGTAAAGTAATGTAGTGCAATTGGAACAAGAGGGCAGCACCTGTAGGTTTAGTCACATCAAGCGGCCAACACATAAAAGTTAAACATACAGGTCAACCTGTCTCTTTACTCCGAACTGACATCAAGTCAATGGGTATAAATGATATCTCCCCATACTCCCTCCCCCTTCCCCCATTCCACCCCTTCCAAACCCGCAAGCACAAGCAAAAAACATGCTTTTTCCCCCTTCCTCTCCAACAGTCTAACTAACCCCCTTCCCCCCCAAAAACAACAAATCCAAACAACCCAATCCTCCTCTCAAAAAGATCAAGAAAATACATTATGTAAGGGGGAAAAAACAAAGACTTTGTGCTGCGTGGTGCGTGTGCGTGTGCGTGTGGTGTATATGTACAACCAACTGTACAATGTCTCCCAACTCTTGAATGATGGGTCATCAAAAGTCCGTAAAGAAAAAACACCCAGCCCCACCAAATCTTACAAGAAAAATGTGTGAAACGTCGCCGCTTTGTATGTATGAATGAACATCTCGTTGGGGATAAAAAAGGAAAAACTCGTAAGAACTTTGCAGTAACAGCGTGGGACATAAGCGTCAAAAAAAGGTGTGTAAAACATGTCAATGAAGAAACGAACAAGACAAGTACAGTCGGGGAATAAGTCTGGTAATGAGGCGTAAAAACGGAAATAGTCAAAAAGATTGTGTGTACAGTAGTAGCACAATGGTACCATCCGAGTCGATGGTGTGGTGTGTGGTGTTTGGTGTTTAGTTTGTTGGTGGTTGCTGTGCGAGTCCGCTCTCGAGGTCGTGTTGAGACCTCAGTTGTCTCGGCCCTTGAAAGCCTTGCTGTTGTTGTTGTTGAAGATGTGGTGAGTTCTTGACATCTTGCATCTCCATTCCCTCTTTCGAGTCGACGCCGGCCCCTGGGTTAGCGGGAACAGCCTTGCGAGCTTTCTTTATCCTCTTCGTCGGTGCGAGCCTCTGATCACCCTCGTACCACGATTGCTTGAACTGATAGTACGTTGGCGGCCTCGGTCTGCAGAGCACCACAAACCAGTTCCTGAACCAGCTTCCTTGGGTGTAGGCTCTGAAGCGTTCCGCCTTGATGAACTTGGAAGAGTTGAGGTACTCACGGGTCGTCTCACCCCTAGCCATTAGGAACACATGGTACCCCGTCAAAGCGGCTGGGTACAGGAAGGCAATGAACCCGTAGATGACCATGGCGAAGGGCACGCGGAAGTGAGAAATTGACGCATTGAAGCTGATTTTCTGCTTGTGCTGGTAGACCAGAATCTGTGCAAGCGATGCACCAGACAGGTACACGCCCAGCAAGGTGGCGGTAAGGATGAAGGTGAAGAAGTAGCGGTAGTTGCGCCGGCCAACACAGTTGTTGAGCCACAGACAGTGGTGGTCCTGGGTCTCGACGCAGTTGTCGCAGAGACGGCAATGGTGGGCTCGTGGTGGACGCCACATCTGGCATGTCTTGCAGTATTTGCAGGGCACCTCCATGGCAGCGGCTGTCTTCTCGGCAGACTTGATGAGCACCCATTCGGTCGACGGCGGACTTGGCCTCCAGGGGTCATTGTTTTCTGAAGGTGGGAATCGATGTAGGTTGCGTGGGATAATCTGGATCACTGTTAGTCCATGCTCGCTCACATCATACAAAAACTAGGCCTACCCCGGGATCCGTGGCCGATGCATGGCAAAAAGAAGACACGCAGAGGTAGTAAAGATAGGCGAAGGTGATGGGTATCGCTGGGGAAATATTGTTCCAAATCCAAGGTGCCGAGAATATCAGAAACAAGATGCCAGGAATGACTACCAAAGACCCTGTCGCAATGTTGACCGGTCTATCTCTCGCGTTTTGTAACCTGCCTCCAAAAAAGAAGATTGTGTTGCCCTGGAAATACTGATAGTTGCGGCCCACCTTCTTGGTCTTCTCCTCCGACGGGTGCTTGTCGTCCCTGCTCGCGGGTGGGAGTTGGGGTGACGAAGCTACCGAGTCCAGCTTCTCGCCGCCCTGCATTTCTCGGTTGCTGTGGCCAGAATCGTTTCTCGGCATAAGAAAGTTGGACCGCAGAGATCGAGGTGTTCGCACAGGAGTCGGGATAGATACGCCAGCTTTGTTGTAGGTTTTGCTCATGTCGAGGGTAAGGTTTCTAGCATCACCAGGCTTCCTCTGCAACGGCCGGACGCTATCCGAAAAGCTCGAAGTCGCATGGTGGCCTGTCGGACTCGTGTTGGCCGTCCTCCTCTCGTACATATCCTGCTCGGTAAACTCCGTTCCTCTTGAGGGTGGTGACCGCATGTCCCCTTCATCAGCGGACTGTCTCACTACCTTGGCGCCTGGAGCCGAGTTCAGGCTGTCGCGCGCCGGGTTGTGGGGGTCCTCTTGGGACATAAATTGCCGGTTCACCGTCGTCGGTCTCGCGAATCCTCTTTGCGCCTGTAATTTCTGCGAACTCATCGGGCGAAAGAAGGCATGCGATGTCAACGACGGAACATGGCTTCTGGTTGCTGAACTGGGTGGTCGAACTGCCTGTGTCGCGCTGCTGATGCTTCCAGTCCCGCTCCCACGCTTTCCCGCCAGCCCCTGACGTAAAGGCGTCCCTGAGCTCCACGGAGGTCTCCCAGATGCTCCTGTCCTCGCCGTTCCTGGACGAGAACTGAGGTCCGAATAGAAAGCGCTCCTCCTCTTGCCGCCTGCCGCGCGGTGCGCTTCTGTGTCTCCGCCGTCATCCGTCATGATATCGGTCATGCGCGAGGAAATTATACTCGGGGGACCAGCCATCTCAGATCGACCCGGAAACTGGGGAAAGCTGTCATCGTTAATGGTGCTGGTAGGAGAGAGAGCCCTCGGCGCTCCCTCCCCGGATGCCATGGTTTCGTCTTGCCGTTTTCACTTTCGCTCGGCTCAGGGCTCGGTTCTCGGTACTCGATTGGATGCAATTTTGGATCGAAGCAGTTCGTTTGGCGGCTCAAGTTTCAAGTGTTGTTCGTACCGCGCTATAACATCGCTGGTCGGCGGGATATGTGGTTGGAGAGGTCGGCCGGACACCAGGCAATGGACTCGAAAAACGGGCCTCAAAGTGCGACGAAGAGGAAAGGACGACTCGGTGTGATGATACGAATATCCGTTGCACCGTCACTTAGACTTCGAGGGTCCGGGCGCGTTACACACGGCTGGAATGCAGTGCTGGATGGCGGTGGCTTCGGGACGGGTAATGCTCCACACTGCAGTTGTGTCTGCCGTCTGGGTGCGATCACTTTCCGTGGATTTTCGTGTTTGCGAAACGGTGCAGCTGAGATTCGAATATGGGTGGTAGAGAGCGCGAGTATGGTTGATTATCAAGAGAGACAAAGAGTTGGACAGATATCAAGAAGGAGGGGAAAAAGAGTGTCGAGAAAAAGCAATAGTGTGCGAATGGCCGCCCTGGGGACTTTGCCGTGAGACCAAGCAAGAGTCGGAGTCTCTTGTTCGTTGCCCGGAGTGTGAATCGGATGGACCTCTTTTCTTTTTGGCAACCAACGAGTTGAGGGATCTCACTGGCTGCGGCCAGGACCGTGCCATCCCCGTTCTCCTACTATTTCCAGTTTTTGTTGCCCAGGCGAGTGGCCCAGCATCAGCATGTCCAGTGGGGGACTTGCATTGGCCTCCGATCTCTTGGGTTAATTGCGCTGCGTCAGGTTACCCCTGAATCCAGAGCCGTGCTCACTGTGATATCACTGCTATCATGCTCTCAAGAAAAGGCAAAGCTCGTGGCATAAAGATGCGGCAAACACAACTCTCGAGAAGAATAGCAAACAGCGACTCGGAATTGCGCTTTGGGCATCACTTGCGCTCAGGGCTTCGACATCTGTCCAAAGGATGCCCGGACTATGTGTGACCTGAGTGATGTGTGCTGTTCGAGAGAGACAACTGATGCGACCCAAGCTGCCACCCGTGCCTGTGTCCCTGTGCATTGCAGCTTGTCCTGTGATCTGATGCTGCAGTTCGAAAAGGGAGGCGTGGAGTCAGCAGCTGACGGCCAGTTCCGTGGCAGTTGTCCGCCCCCGCTCCACCCAAAAAAAAGACATGATTGGTCAGAAAGCTTCCCCAAGCTTGATGACGATGACAACCAATGACGGCACAGCTCATACAGTTTCGGATGCCTTACGTAAGAAACGGGCGCCAAGCCTTCAAGCTTCGGCCCTGACGAAATCGTATGAGGGCCAGACGGCCAGAGCTAGCATCACGATTCCAGTTCCGAAGCTCCATTGCATCAGCAACCGCCTTTGACAGACAACACCGCAGAGATGGCTTCCCTCATCGCCCGCAGAGCTTTCAGCACGACCGTCCGCCGCCTCACCACCGGCGAGGAGGCTCTCAAGAGCGAGTCCAAGAAGAACCCCGAGATTCTGGTGCGTCAAATTCCGAGGTCCAACCGCCGCCATTGCCGATGCCGTCGCCCCGGGTGTTGAATTGGTAGCCCGCGAGGGCAGTTCGACACAGCTTGAGAATTCGAAAATTAGGTTGGAAACATGGCATGGGGCGCACGGAACGGCGGCGGTGGTTTGACTATAGCTGGGAGGGGTATTGAAGGACCATGTGAAAGCTGATATGATTATCATGATAGATCCTCGGCGGTATCATGGTCTGCGCTCTTGGTGGTGCTGGCTACTACTTCGGCCGCTCCCCTACCAAGTCCACCTCCGAGAACACCGTCCCTATCGCCGACAAGAGCATGCCCTGGGAAAGCGGTTCGACCCACGGCAAGTACCAGTATCACCCCGGTGGTGATGCCAGCGCTGCCCCCAAGGATGCCCCTAGCGCTGTCAACGTCGTCGTTGTCCCCAACGTCACTCTGCCCAAGGTATGGACTGTTATGTAGTATGCTTGAGGCAAATACTGATGTAATGGACAGGAGCTTCACGACAGATACAACAAGTGGGGCAAGGATGGCTATTAAACACTTTTTTCAGCTCGTGGGAGAGAGGGGGAGGTATTGCACAGGCAGTGAATGATGCATAAAAGAGGGCATCATTGTAAATATCTGGCTAGATGGCGGTGATTCGGGATCCAGAGCGGTCTTCAATAGAGTGCACTATTCTTGGTTTCCCTCCGTTCATTGAAGTGGTTCAACAAAGATGTCAGAGACTGAACCTGGGTATATCATATGTTTGTAGAACTCAAGACGACAAGAAAAGGCTTTACTAACACCTTCCCAAAATTCCCAGGGACGAACGCCTATAAATGCAATCCACCACTTTCAAAGTGCACCCAGTCTACTCGTCCTCCAACAGATTGGCGATGCCTGGGAGTTCATCATCCTATGTGTCTCTTGGCAGCATCGGCAAACTGCTCTTGCTGGAGACGTTCGAGTTCCTCCAATGTCATGCCGCTCTGCTCAAACTTGTTTGCCTTCTTCTCACGTCCCTATCATTGGGCGTCAGCATGTCTTCATAACAAAGGAAATCCCAAGGTCTCTCACCTTTTGGACTTCCTTGTGCTCTGCAGCGGCTTCCAAAACGGCAGGGACGTAGTCGGCAAAGCCGAGTTGCTCCAATGCCTTGGTGATGTGGTCACAAGCGATAGTCTTTTTGGCTTCCTTCTCAGAAATCTCGTTTGCCTCGCTAGAGATGAGAGTGATGAACTCGACACAGCACTCTATAAGGAGGTCGCGAGCCTCCTTGGCGAAGGCGATGCCTGTTGACGATGGCAGAATCTCCCCAACAATCTTTTGAACGGTGGCTGCGCCGAATAGTCAGTAATCCACACGCTTCTTTGGTTGATAAGAATGAGATACATACCTTTGGGGAGGGACAGGTCGTCATTTCCTATCAGACACGATGTTAGCAAACTGTCGTCTCAGCACAAAAGTCCAAGTCAACCAGATATACCCAGCTCATCATTGTCAAAAGCTGACCAGTAACGGTCTTGACGGGGGATGTGCTCTGAAGGCATTTTTGCTTGTCTTGAGAGGTGCGGTGAAGATGTTTGTTGTGGGGTGGAAAGGCAACAGGAGCAAACAAATCAACGATATATGAAGGGAAGGTATTGTCCTCTGTTATCCCCGTAAATAAAGCCAGTGGGTCGACAGTCCCTATTCGTATGCCGGGTGAGGCCTGAGGCTGTATAAGAGGTGTGTACATGACTTCAGATGACTTTAGGAAAGGGCCTCCACTGTGTTTAATAGTAGGATGCGCCCACCAAAACTCCCGGTCGCATCAACGGAACCAAAACGCCACCCGACAAACTCGCAGTGTAGTTTCCTCCACTGCAGAATTAAAAACACGGCGGCTTACCTCCTAACTCGTGGTCCGACATGGTGGTATATGTAAGGTATAAGAAGGGGGTCTCGCCCTCAGGTGATGGATGAAGCAAGGTATAGTTGATAACGATACACTTTTTCCGGTGACGGTTATCGAACAAAGTGATGCGATGCCGCTATTCAATCTTCAGAGTGGTTTCCTCGCGTGTTGGAACTGGGTTTGCTTTGATAGACCTCGACACATGTTATGAACCGGAGAGCCGAGGGCTCTCAAAGCTTGAAGGTTGGTGAGCAGCCCTTTATACTCAAATACCTAGCCTCCCGTCCTTCCAAAGTGGTTCTTTGAAGGCTGCCAATGCCAACCACGTCGCGCGCTCAGCTTGTCCCACAACGCATTTGTGGCTTGTGAGACCCACCCACCCCGCCATGCCGCGTGAGCGCCACAAAGCAACAGCGAAGCTCCCCACCCCAGCCTCATTTGGCTCCGGCTTGAAAATTTCAAGGTTCCTCTAAACTCCCTCCTTCGCAGTTGTTCCGACACCGAAAACAAAAAGGCGACTTCTCGTCGCGAATTTGAATTTTCCCTTCTTCCTCATCAACAAACAGCACTCCAATGCGCGCTCTGCCTTTGCAACACTGATCGGCGACATTGTAGAAACACGCAATGTTGCCTTCTTGGGGGGCCTGATCACCCCCCCCCCGACCATTCCAGTAAGGTAAGCATACAACCCTCCGCTTTGCTCAGCACCCCGACGACCTTCATATGATGATATACTCGTGTCGCCCCAATCATACACAATTATGGTGATAGACACAGTCAAGCCAAACGACACTACTGATCTTTTCCTCGTCCTCCACCCCGATTTTCTGCAGACTCTTCTCAGAATCCAAAGCTAACAGCTTAAAAAGTAATTTAGATGCCAGCTACGAGCCGCTTCGACTGCGACATACGAACACCATGATGTTTATTATCGTACTTTATCATTCCAATTCCGACTCTACATGACGGATACATTTCACCTGATCTCGTTTTCGCGGTCGATGGCTTCATGGCAGCTTGTTCTTCTGCAAGAGGGACAGAGGACTAATATCGGTCCCTAGATCCAGACGGTGATGGCCGTGGTCTGGTTTTGGAGTTGTCTAGCTTGTAGGTAGCCTTCTATTTTCTATTCTATGTCCCAACAGCACACGGCAATGTGATGAACAAACTTTTCGTGCTTAAAAAACCGAATATACAATGTGGAAACCAATCAGACTTTTCATCTTTCGACTGATTTGCCGCCTGTATCATCTTGAATATGCTTTCACTCGTTGGTTATGGACATTTCTGACCGGCCAATAGAACCATCTCAGCTTGTTCAACTCAATTGGTACTCGGCCAATTCTGGCGCATTCCACCTGCAACAGTTAGTATCTCAACCTCTTATCGTGTGAGGACTCAGGTAGGCACGTACTTGAAATACTGTCCGGCCAGTTCTGGCTTCGCAGACACAGCAAGATTAGCAATAACACCACCAGACTGCTCTGGTCTCACCAATGTCCCTGCTTCAAACTCTTTGCTGAACGCTTCGTGATCTTTTGGTGCCATCTCCGCCTTGCCCTTTTCTCGAAGTTCCTTTTGCATGTCAGTGTCTACTCTCCCAGGGCTGACGGCTACCGAAGTGATGTCTGGTTCCTCAACGGCAATGTGCTTGGAAAGGTGGTTCAGCGCTGCTTTGGAGGTTCCGTAGGCGCCCCAGGCGGTGTAAGCTCCTGTTGCGGCGCCCGATGAGGTGAAGATGAGACGGCCTTTGGTTTCTCTCAGGTAGGGGATGGTTTCCTTGGCTAGGGCGAGGGCGCTAAAAAAGTTGGCGTCGAAGAGGGCTTTCCAGTCGTCAATGGAGGAGTTGGCGACGCGGGTCATTGGCGAGAGGGCGCCGTGGTTGATGATGACGGCGTTGATGTGATGGAAGTGGAGGAGGGCGAGTTTTTTGAAGTTTAGAGGGTGTTTTGGGGGGGGTTGGGGGGGGGGGGTTAGTTGTGATGTGTGAGTTGTGTGTGTTTTGAGGTATGATACGCACATCAGGCAAGGTCATATCAGCCGCTAGATACTGGACTTGTGATGGGTATTCTTTCTGAAGCTCCTCCAGCTTTTCAGGGGAGCGAGCTGTGAGGACGACCTTGTGGCCTGCTTTGAGGAGGTGGGTGGCTATGGCGTGGCCGATGCCACGGCTGGCGCCGGTGATGATAATTACTTGAGGTTCTGGCATTTTGTTTGCTGGTGGTGTGGTATGGTTTGGAGAGTTGGATAGTGAGTGTCCTGCGGTGATTAGTTGACGTAGACTGCGTAGCTGTTCGGGAAGAGCGTTAATCCAGATTTTCGGGATTCGGTAACACCCCTCGCTCGAACTTGATTGCCCCTCTTTGAGGTTGACGTTGTGGGTGGAGCGCGGGGTATCGACTTCTGCTATTTAACTGCCTTTTGGGGAAGAAGAGATGTCGAATCAAGGGCGCAGAATGGGGAATTCGGCTCGGGCATGATTGAAGATTGGTAGTCTGCTGAATTGTCCATTCAGAAGCATGGAATTCATGCTACTTGGTGGAGAGCTGGTTGGGATATCTGGAGGGGGTGACGCTTGTCGTTCATCTAACATCTTCATAGATACGATTGTTTCCACGTAAATATAGACCACTCCATCACCTCTTTCAATCCCCAGCCCTGATACTGACTTACTTCATCTTCTAACTTCAACCTATTTCTCAGACTTTAAACACCCAACCCACCCTTACGACCAGTCCTTCAACCTCACCATGACCATCATCACCACCACCACCACCGACCCCAACGACAACATCATCATCCTCGGCTGCGGCATCATAGGCCTCTCCACAGCCTACTACCTCTCCCTCTCACCAACCAACACCAACCCCATAACCCTCATCGATCCCTCCCCGGAACTCTTCTCCTCTGCCTCCGGCTTCGCAGGTGGCTTCCTCGCAAAAGATTGGTTCTCCCCCTCCCTCACCCCCCTCGGCGCCCTTTCGTTCAACGAACACGCCCGCCTGGCAGCTGAAAACAACGGCAGAGAAAATTGGGGGTACACACCCTCTACCTGCATCTCTTATATCCAGCACCATGACGGATCAAAGCAGCAGAAACGGGGTGATGACTGGTTGAGAAGTGGGACGTCAAGGGTCAATGCCGCGCCTGTGGAGGCGGAACATGACGAGGCGAGGAGACCGGGTTGGTTGAAGAAGAAGGAGGGGGATAAAGTCGAGGTTATCAGTGAGGAGGGGACTACGGCGCAGGTTGATCCTTTACGACTCTGTCAGTGGTTGTTGGGGGAGGTGATGAAAAGAGGGGGGAAGGTGCTACAGCCTGCGAAGGCGACGGGGTTGGTGAGGGATGATCTTACAGGGGAGGTTAAGGGGGTGAAAGTGAGGGACTTGAAAGATGGGAGTGAGAGGGTTGTGAAGGGGAATAGAGTTGTGATTACAGCTGGGGTTTGGACACCAAAGGTGTTTAGAACGCTGTTTCCCCAGGCAAAGGTAGGGATGAGGGTGGGGAGTTTGGCTGGGCATAGTATTGTCGTTCGGACACCAATTTGGGATACAAGAGAGGGGGAGGAAGAGTGTCATGCTGTTTTTACTACGCATGAAAAGAATTTCTGTCCGGAGATGTTTTCGAGGTTAGGCGGGGGAGGGGAGGTTTATTTTGCGGGGTTGAATGATTCTACTTTGGAGGTTCAGGATCCGGAGGAGGGGAAAGCCAGGCCGTTGGATGAGCAGAAGGGGTTGCTGAGGGAGGCGGTGGGGGATATTATAAAGGGTGGTGATGGGGGCTTGGAGGTTGTGAGGGAGGGGTTGTGTTTCCGGCCTGTGACGGAGTGGGGGGCGCCGATTGTATCGCAGATCACAGAGGAGGACCTCGGGATCAGTGTTGGGGACGGGGGAGTTTGGGTTGCGGCCGGGCATGGGCCTTGGGGGATTGCGATGAGTCTGGGGACAGGTGTCGTCATGGCAGATTTGGTGGAAGGAAAGGAGACAAGGGTGGATGTAAGAGGTCTAGGATATCATGGGCCCAACACTCATCCTGTTGTCGTTCATACCATTTAGCTGAGGCTGAAAGCTGGGGCTGTCTTATGGGCAGTCTGGTTCGCAGGTGTAAGAGACTTTGACCAAATGTACCAGCACCTACATGAGATAGCTTATCCTCCTTGTTCGGAAGTTCTTCTCCTGGTGCATTGCATGGTGCGTCGTAGGCAGTGAAGCTCGTTCGTGTTTTGATTGGTTTCTCCGAGAGGGCGCACGGAAACGATGTTACAGCCCTCACGATTTCTTGGCATTAATATGGATGGCAGCCCTACCTAGGTTGGTATATTCTCAGCAGAACTCCCTTCTTCTCCTTCATCATCTGGCGCTCAACATAAACGCATACTCCTGCTCTAGACCTTTAATCCAACTTCACACTGATCCACATGAGTCTTCGCCTTTTCCCCCGGCCTATTTCAGCGTTGTTGTCTGCTTATTTAGCCCAAAACTATTACCTACACATTATCACTTGCATACCAACACAAGAAAATCATTGCCCAAAGACTATGTAGCATGGCGCCGATACTCTATGGCGAGAACACACAACCTCTCAACCCCTTCCAATCAAGTGAAAAAGATTCTCCGCTGGGGTATGTTTATTGCAGGGTCTTCTTTATGCTAATGACAGCATGTGTCCTGAATTGCTTGTTTGGGAATAGGCCTCATACTTTAAATATTGTGGCTGCTTCTGCTCAAACACCACTATTTCAGAAATATTCTGCCTACCCGGGGGAACAAACGCATAGATGAGGTGAAAACAATAGCTTCGCGGTGTTGAACCGCCGTGCTGTCTTTTGAACATTTTCTTCTGTGCTGCCCCACTATTCAGAATGTCAATGTTGAAGAGCTGATGGTGTAGTAGCATGTGGCTTGCCAAACAGCTGGTGCCCAAGTCTGGTGGTGGTTGTTCATACCACTGCTCGTTAACATTTCACTTGCCACATTGTACAGATGAATATGGGTTGTATTTGGGAACCACAATGTTGATAACCTTATGCAAAACACCTCAACCCCAAAACCGGTTCTCGAATTTACTATCACAGCGTTGAACGGGTGTATATGAAGAGGAAGGGAGACACTGGATATATTGTAGCCGGTGCCAGCTGGTTGAAAGCGACGATCTTGGACACGAATGAACATCGCAGTGACCGCGTGCCACGACAGAGTGTACCACCGGCAAGGCTTCCGGGCAGAGGGCGAAGTTTTGACAATTACCACTCATTGAATACATTGTAGCTGGGTTGTGTTTACATGAAGCATTTCGTTCTTCACCTCTGGCTCATGGTGTTTCGCTTCAAGGCTCTCACCATTTGTGTCGCTTCCAGTTGAAATTCAGCATTCCCCTCTTCATCAATGTCAGACAGGCGTACCAAGACAGTTTAATCAAGGCCCATGAATAGAACACACCCAGAGCGAGGTACCCGAGCATCTCGACGTTGTATCGAGAGCATAAACTCGGATGAAATGAGGTCCAAGCATCCCACTGTGATCGATAAAGTGCTTGACAGCGCATAGACCACCAAGATAAGGTCAGTGCGAACGGGACGTTCCGTGTGTTTGGGTGACTTGGCTGCTTGGCTTCTCTCAGCTCCCGTTTCCCACACACACTGTCCTGAGCTTGGCTGTTGATGATTCCCAGATCGAAGTTGATCCAACAGCCCCAAAGCTATCGATTTCGATAACAAATCTCCTTAATTGCCTCTTTTCAATCTATCCACCCGGCACATGACTTCAGGCGGTTATCAAAAGACGGCCGACCCGAATTGCCGGAGCCGACTCGAGGCCCAGTCCTCGTACCTAATTGAACAATGGCTTTCACCAGAGGGCGGCCGCAGCTGGGGTCACCTCTTGACATGCCCGTCCGGCAGCAACAGCAGTGAGAGCTGGAACCACTGAGAGACACAGCAGCTGACGGATGACGGACAGCACGCATCACAGGACACCACCGCTACCAGACAGAGAATCTTCAGTGCCACGAGTCACCGTTCTGGACTGCTGCATCGAGAATCATCTTCAGTGAGGTTCACCAACCCTTGCATCATGAGGGGACGTGGGAGAAAAGCTCGAGTCCGAGAACGCGGGCGAGAGGTTGAAGAGGTCAGCTTCCAATCAAAAGGCTTATTTACCCGCCCAGGCTGCAATTGCCCCCTGCTGTTCCCTGCTATGGGAACTTGCATGGGGGAACCCCACTGTGCCCTTTTCGAGATCTCCCAGCATCGCGCCGTCATTTGCTCGTCCATCACGGCGATGCTCGAACGCCATTTGATGACTGCGTGGTGACCATCCAGAGCATCACACCAAGGTCACCAACAGTTGGACAGACGCATTAATTGCTCGCTTATTGGGGGTCTTGGTTCTTCCTCAAGGGGCTGGAGAATGAGAATGCGCCATTCTCAGTTCGCAATTCGCATGTCGACGAACATGTCGTTTCCCACCTGCACAAAAGACAGCCATGAGGTGGTCACAATGGCGGTCGACCGTGATGACACCCTGCCGCCAAGCATAGGTGATTGTCCGCTCCAAGTGGAAGGATATTCGACAGGTCGGATGTATCCGTTGTGCTTGGAAGAAGTCTTCACTGAAGAGGACAGCATCCGTCCGGCATGCGCGCGCACGTTGAGAACTGCGTGGTTTTGTCCTACACCTCTTGCCTTTCCACGAGTGCCGACAGTTGTCATCAAGCAGTCAGCTTTGCTGTTGGTTCCTCTTGCGATAACGGTGCCGAACACTCACAGATCGCCGCAGAAACGAGCCCGGCCAGATCGAGCCTTCCTCACGGCCCCCAACCGGCCGTCTTTTCCTTTTCTTTCCTCTGAACTCTGCCTTTCTCCTCTTCCATTTCCCAGCCAAGCCTATACCTAGCGCCCGGTGTCAAGGATTGTTACCGATTCGGGTCGACGTACCGTGTGACATGCAGGTGTGCAGCGACACCAGCTGTGAGCTATTGCACCTAGCACCACGCACCCCAGAACATTGATCGACCAATATTAAGGCCCAGTGAACCGCCGGATTCTTCAGTTGCCAGGTCCGACTTTTCCTGTTCCTGACTTGATATTGATTCCGTCCCGCCTCAGGAGAGCATCTGGACATCTCGAGCCCAACAGCCCGGTACTGTGATCGCATCTGGAGGAGCACACGCGCGGCGGTTGGAATTGTCCGTGGAAGAAACCTAGGTGGACGTGACGGAACTTGCGACTTGCAGCATCTCACCCACCATTCTCACCCACCATCTCACCCACGCTCAACTCCCCCACACCAACATTGGAGATATAACTGCATTATAATAACTCTCCCTACGCCCCTCTCCCGCGCCCCCCGCCGGATCCATCCCATTCTTTCGTCCTTCCCGGCTCCTTCCCGACGGTCGCCCATAATACACCCCTTTCGTCACTTCTCATGGCCTTTCAAGTTGTGCCTCACGCTCTCTACTAAATGCTCTAATATTTTGATCGGGGGTCCGGTGTTCCTCGACCGAAGTCTGACCGGCGGCCGTTGCCGGCAGATCAGCTGCTTCTCTGTATCCCGACGACATTTCAAGATCGAGGTTGCGTTCTACAGGGGCCGCCACACTCCCGCGCCCGTACGCGCACAATCACTACACAAATTACACCATGGCTTCACATGTGCGACCAGCGCTACGAAGCGCAGTCGACGCGTCCGTTGAGGCCCTGAGTGGGTTGGTGAGGCGGATCAATATCCCGCTCTTACCCAACAGTCCACCGGGCTTAGTACAGGCACTCACGGTAGATCCGTGGTCACAATCGGGGAAATATGGGCTGGGTTGGACATATTTTGCGCTTGCTTTGGGAGGATTGACGCTGTTTATGAGGATATGGCACTACTGGCAGGATAAGATTCGGCAGGCGATCTACAAGCAGGATATGGAGAAGCACTTCCAACAGCTTTACAGCATGGAACCGGAGTGGGATAGATCGGCTGCCCTGGCGACGGGGGCGACAGCGCAGACGGCGGCTGAATCACGACGACACTTCTTTCCGGACGAGCAGCAGGCTGAGGAGGAGAAGAATTTCAAGCCGAAAGCGCATTTTTCATCTGTCGGATTTGTCAACGATACTCTGGCGCTATTCCGATGGGTTTTTTATCGACCAGTGCCAGACATTGTCTGGAGAAAACACCGCTTCACCTTTTCCTCACTCGCGGTGCTGAGTTGCGCCTTTATCGCCCTGGCCTTCGTCACGGTCTACTGCTTCTTACAGCAACCCCTATACTGGCAAAGCATCCGGTTCGGATCACCACCGGTGGCCGTTCGGTCCGGCATGATTGCCGTTGCCATGACACCGTGGATCATTGCCACTAGCACCAAGGCCAACATCATCACGCTGATCACCGGCATTGGACCCGAGAGACTCAACGTATTCCACCGTTGGCTGAGCTACCTCTGCCTGTTTCTCTCCTTGATTCACATGATCCCATTCTACATCCAGCCGGTCTGGGAGGATGGTGGCATGGAGGTCTTCGAGGCGCTGTTTCCTCCCGGTAGCGGCATCATCTATGGATCTGGAATTGCATGCATGGTCCCTCTGGGGTGGCTTTGTGTGGGATCGTTACCACTGTTCCGAAGAAAGGCATACGAAGTTTTCATCCTTCTCCATATCCCAGTCGGCTACGTTTACGTCGGTGTGCTCTTTTGGCATACCAAGAACTTTCTCATGTCATGGGCCTACTTGTATGCGACAGTGGCCATCATCGTCTTCTGCAACCTGTACCGTTTCTGCAAGCTGAATTGGACCAAGCCATGGCGCATGTCGTTTTTGATTGGAGACGAAGCAGCCATCAACATCATGACGGAGAACGCCATCAAGATCACCATCCCAACTCAGATGAGGTGGAAGCCGGGCCAGTACGTCTATCTGCGCATGCCGGGCATTTCCATGTTCGAGAACCATCCTTTCACCATCTCGTCTCTTTGCAGCTCAGACTTTCCATCTGAATACGGCGAGGAGTACAGAGATTGTGTGTTGGTGTTCCGGCCATATGGAGGCTTTACGAAGAAGGTGCTCGAGACGGCCATTGATAAGGGGCCTTTCCACACCTACCGCGCGTTTCTCGACGGCCCGTACGGTGGTATGCGCCGAGAGCTTGCCGCATTTGATACCTGCATCCTCATCGCCGGTGGCAGCGGTATCACATCGCTCATGTCACAGCTGCTAAATCTGATCAAGCGCATGCGGGACGGCAAGGCCATCACCAAGAAAATCGTCGTGGTGTGGTCGCTCAAGCGGCTCGAGGCCATGGACTGGTTCCGGGAAGAGCTCCGTATCTGTCGTGAAGCCGCGCCCCCTGAGAGTGTTACTTGCAAGTTTTTCGTTACCGCATCAGTCCGGAAGCCGCCAAATTCTGGCATTCCTCATGGTCGTGCGCCCAGGCCGCTCAGCAATGCATTCCACGACAAGCTGGATGGCTTTGTGGCCAACATTGCTAGCAAACGCAACAGCGCCCTGATCATGTCCGAGGCCCAAGGCGACCCCGACAGAGAGCGGGAGCTGCGTGCTGAGGATGAGGACCGCATCACAGCGCTCCCTCAGCAGAAATATCTCCAACCACACACCTTCCCACCACCGCCACCGGGGCCTCCCCCAAACAACAACAACAACAACAACAACAACAACAACAACAACAACAACAACAACAACAACAACAACAACAACAGGCTATCTGTTGCGGAACAAACCCTTCGAAAACTTGAAGGCCGCGACGATGAGATCAAGCCCGTTGAAGGCGAACAGCAACAATATTTACACCCCCCAGCCCCTTCCAGCAAGGCACCCTCAACCAAGAAGAGCGAACCCGGCGGTGAATTCCATTTCCCCCCTCTAGCCCGGGAGAATGCGGCTCCCCATTTCAAATACGCACCTCCTGCCGGCCGCAAGCGATACAGCCAGATCCTCTCCGAGTCCGACCCCCGGCCCAGCGGAGCCGGCAGCGGCGGTAGCATCGACGCCCGACCGACTACCAGCGAGCTCGGCCACCAACACGCCGACTCATCCGGCAGCACGGAACCTTTCGCCACTCACCCCTCGCCCCCAGCAGCAGCAGAACCAACAGCCGAATCCTCCACTGCTCCCGTCCGCCCACCAGAACTAGCCCACCTTCGCACCGACGTCGGCGGCGACCCCCGCCGCCCAAGACCAACTTCCCATTTTGGCCCTCCCTCAGGGTTTGATTTTGGCTTTCCAGAAACACCGACCGAATTTCAGCGCAATCTTATGAGGTTTGCGTTTCCTGTCCCGCACGAGATTGACGGCGGGTGGTCGGTGGAGTATGGGAGGCCAGATTTGGGGTATATGCTCAAGGAGTGGGCGACAGGAGGGCCGGATGGGAGGGGCGTGTTGGGGAGGAGGACCGCGGTGTTTGTGTGTGGGCCGCCGGCGATGAGAGTGGGCGTGGCGAATACGGTTGCGAGGTTGCAGGCCGAGATTTGGGGGGATGACATGCTCGAGGAGATCTTTTTACATACAGAGAACTATGCGTTGTAAGAGTGGAGAGATGATGGAGAGGGTGATAAGGGTTGGGCATGTGAAAGGGAGATACCAGCACCAGAGGGATATGGTGTGTAGAGATGACTACGTGTACAGTTACTTTTCGGATTTGGATATATACCACTCTCTCTTGGAGAACAGGGCAGAGGGGGAGCGAACAGCTCACGTCTTTCTTGTTTGTGGTTGGGTTGGGTTATGATAGGACACGGATACTACCACCTTTCTCGGGAGGCAATCCTCTGAGCTAATTGAACGATGATACCTTCAAAGCACCGTGTTCTTAGCCGGTCGAACATGATACTTGAACTTGGTAATTGCGGCGTCATACTCATGCTTCTGGTCACCACTGCGGACGTAAATATGGGGTCAGTTCCGAAAAGGGGTAAATAGGGGCAAATGCCAAGAATCCCTCCAGCGCAGCTGTGAACCTGCCTTGCCAGTTCATACACTTGACTTGATACCAACTACAGCGGCATTTCTCACCATCACACAAAGTTGTGAGCTAGCTGGGGGGGCTTGGATGATTGTGAGGTTGACAGGTAGGTGTCACAACCAGAACTGTGACAACCAGCTCCCAGTTTCCTGCTCATTGACATCGGACACTTTGGTTGGGTTAAAACAGTTAGGAGCGTAAAGTCTCGACCATTTGTCAACGGACCTCTGGCCACCATCCAGGGAAAGTCGCACACCACCCAGGTACCTACCCCAGTCCCTCCGTTGCTGCCAGTCGATCATTCCAAAATTTCCGGTACTCTACTCTACTTACAACCGTCACCCAAACTCTTCCCCAGCATCCAGCGGTGAACTCGTTGCCTTTTCCAAATCAAATCTCCCACTCCAACTCCCGTAACCCTACGCTTCCCTGTCGATATCACCCCGTGTAACACCCCCCCCCCCCCTTCATCGTGTCACCTAGATCAAATTCTCCGCTCCTCTCTCACTGCCATCCAGCCCCCCCTCGGTCGGGACTAGATCCGATCGCAGATTCACTCACTCACATGCCGCCGGGGGGGGGGGAGGGGGGGGGATTCAATGCATGGACGTTTTTTTTCGGCCGGTAGAAAATAACGGCTGGGCTAAAATCATGGCAAAGGCGAATAGGAATGGGAAACAATAAGCCACGGCGTCTGTGGGGGGCTGTAAGGGGTGATTTGAGGCGTCGACGATTGTGGAGAGGAGTGGGGGAGGACAAAGGATGGGAGTTTTGTTTCGCACGTAAGGTTACTGTGGGCAGCGGTAATTAACTGCCTTCTCTCCCCGAATGCTGTGTTACTCGACTTTGGAGGATCTTTCGTGCTGAGTGAGATGAGCTAATGTGGGAAGCCGTTGAGGAGGCGGTTTCCGATTAGATGGTCCATTGAGGCAGGGGAGAGAGGGGCGGTTTGGGGATGGGGGGACGACATCGGGGTTTGGGGGTGGCATTTGGGAGGGCTTGAGTTGGTGATAAGAAGAGCTGAGTGATGAAGTGGGCGGAATTGGTCGGTGTGTGTTTGACAGTGAAAGGCGGTCGGTCAGGCATGAATCACATATGGCGGACGGACGGGTGGTCAGTGGGACAGAGGCGCAATGGATATCGGGACCGTCTATCTGAGTCGGATATCGGATGGAATATGGTGGTTTCAGGTATCTTGCTACGGTTGACTTGAATTTGGGGCAGAGATCTAGCCGTCAGCTCATAAATGTGTGGCGCTTTGCATTCAGGTTGAGTGACAGACACGTACATGCCATGTGCTAGCTACGGGTGCAACTGCCAGCGGGGGACGATCTCTGCTGCTACCAAGTATTGAACCCAAACTCCTTCTGCCCGGGACTTGAAGCTATCTAGCAAACATCAAAGTGCCCGGCATGTCGACCGCGCACCATCAAGTCCCGTCTGACAGCTCAGACAACTCACAAGATCACTGATCCGGGGGTCCGTGGTGAGTCAATGATCGTGTGCTACAGAAAAACATGGCTCGCTCCTTCCTCCTTTCAGCAGGGCAAGGATACCCTCGACGGCTGGGCCAGGAGAAATCGAGGCAAGACAGCAATGGACCTTCCCTCCCTGAAATTTTCACGGGTGCCCACAGTGTCCGGATGTGAGGTGATTTGCAGCTGCCCACGGAGGAGCTCCTTCCTCGGAGGCAACCCGGGAGTCTGGTGCCTGGTGCCTGGTGCCTGGTGCCTGGTGCCTGGTGCCTGGCTGGAAAACAGTTATTGATAGCTTCTTTCTCCGCAACATGGCTTGGATCGCGTCGATCTTTGGGGACAAGTCCCCGAGACCCCTAAACATTGGCTTGACCGCCTTGGCCTGAATCACCGACATGTGCTTGTGGGGATATTGAACGGCAAATGTTGATGCTTGCTTACAATAAGCTCCTTTTCGTCTTGTCTGTCTCGTTCTGTCCTCCTTCCCCTGCCTTCTCCGAGACAGCAACACAAATAACACCCTTGGGCGTTGCACAACAGCTACACCTGGTGTTCCCCTTCTCTGCTACCCGGGTAGCTTTACATATCGGTACATCCCCCGTTCCTCTCGACACCCAATTTGCAGATAGATCCCATCTGCCACTGAAATGGGAGCCATGCGAAAGGAAGCGGGCGTGTGTGCGTTCCCGTCATCGTCTGACCTGTCGACCCAAGAGAACACCGGCAGCCAGAAACCTGCGGTGACTGGACTTTTGGACGAAAGAGACGCTCAACGGGCCTCGATTCCGCCTGCTCCCACTGCCGCTCCTTTTCTTCCCAACAAGTCGCCTGCTCGGAGCAGCCCGAGACCCGAGTCGCAAAACAAAGCAGCCCCGTCTAGCTCTGTTCACTCAGCTTCTTCTGGTGCTGTTCCTCAGAACCAGAACTCGGTTTCTTGTGCTGTGAGGAACTGGTCTTACTGGAACAACTGGGACGCCAACGGCACAATGGCTGGAATCGAGGGTCATGACGGCGCTATGGCTATGGAGGGCACAACTGTACGTGATACGGCCGTTCTCACATACGCAAACGAAGCAGCGTCAACTGACCACGGAAATATACAGAGGAATGCTCGTCGGTGGTTAGCCCTCGCGGCTCTGGCTTGCATGTGGACGAACGCTCAAGCTCCGTTATTCATGTTTGGTATGTCCACGGTGCCTCAGTGAAGGATATGTGCCTTGAAGAACTGACACAGCTTGCGACAGCCGGCGCCCCTGTTTATATCTACCGAGAGCTCGGCGGTATCGACCACTGGGTGTGGTTCGTATCTGCCAACCTTCTCGCCACGGCAGCAATTTCCCCCTTTGTCGGCGCCTTGTCAGATCTTGTCGGCCGTCGATTTGTTGCCCTTGCTGGCAATGCCTTGATTGTCATCGGCCAGATTATCTGCGGCGCTGCTACGAGCATGGATGCGTTTATTGGTAAGTCCTGATTTGAAAGTGGAAGGAGACAATGGCTGACAGTACTTTTTTTCTTTTTCCAGTTGGCATGGCCATCTCAGGTTTGGGAACTGGCATCAACGAGCTCACTGCCTTGGCGGGCGCCGCCGAGATTGTCCCCGTGTCTCGCCGCGGCTACTATGTGGCGGCAATGATCCTCACCATCCTCCCGTTTCTGCCGTCGGTCATGTATGCTCAGCTTATTTCGGCGTATTCGAGCTGGCGATATATTGCGGTTGTAACTACTGGTTGGGCTGCTATCGGTTTGGTCATGGCCTTTTTGTTCTACCACCCCCCTCCACGGATCGATGCCCATGCCGGCGAGAAGAGCGAGGTGCTGAAGAAGACGGACTGGGTTGGTGGGTTCTTGTCGATTGCTGGGCTTGTGCTGGTGGAGGTTGGGCTGTTGGGTGGTGGTTACAATGTAAGCTCTCTCTTGGCCTTCGAAAGAAAATATTATTGCTAAAGCTTGGTAGGCTCCATGGAAGAGCGCGAGGATATTGGCTCCTCTCATAATCGGTGCCCTGGTTTTGGTGGCCTTTGTGGTGTGGGAACGGAAAGGGGCCAGCCATCCTATGGTGCCGAGAGACATGGGCAAGTCGCCTTGGACCTTGTGGCTGACTCTCATCATCACGTTCATTTCGGGCGCCAACTTCTTTTCAGTGTTGATGATTTGGCCGAGCGAGGCGTATAATGTGTACGGGCACGAGTAAGTCCTCTGAACACAAGAAAGCGGTGGGACATTGCTGACCCCTTTCCAGTCCCGTCGGAGTCGGTATCCGTGGTATGCCCTTCGCCTTTGGCACCATGGCCGGATGTGTCATCTCCCTGGTGATGCTTTCTTGGCTCAAGGGAAACATCAAGTGGATTCTGTTCGTCTCGTCAACATTGATGACACTGGGCTGTGGACTGCTGGCCATTGCCAGAGTCGACAACATTCAGACCGTGTACGGTGTTTTGTTCATTGCCGGTCTCGGCGTGGGCGGAGTTGTCGTCCCGGCATCGACAATCACGGCCATCATCTGCCCCAGCGATGTCATTGCTACAGTCACCGCCTTGACTATCGCCATCAGAATCGTAGGCGGTGCTATCGGATACGCCATCTACTACAACGTTTTTGTGTCGAAGCTCCTCCCCCAGCTGATGCAAATTGTAGGCGGAACCTGCGTCAAGGTTGGGATCGAACACGACAAGATTGAACAGATCATCCAGATGACGGGAGCGTCGCTGGTCAACGAGATCAAGCACCTTCCGTTTGTGAACGAGACTCAGTGGCATGCGATTGTGGCGGCTGGTCAGGTGGCTTATTCTCATGCATACCCCTGGGCCTATTACTGCAGTATTGCCTTCGGGGGTGTGTCGATGTTGGCGAGTTTGTTTTTGGGGGATCTAAATATGGATGATACGGTTGCGGTGGTTCTTTGATTCCAGGAAGGGGGGGGGGGGGCAGGGTGTTAAGAGTAGGAATTTTGGCACGGGTTAATGGAGCGGTAATTGATGACATCTGGGGTTGGGAGTGGCCATCTTAGAGGTTGTAGAACTCGGAAAGTGGTATGGCCGGCAAGCTAGCTGTAGTTAGACGTAGGGCGCACACATTTTTCTTTTGTAGTGGGTTTTGTGGGATGTGAGTGACATGGTGTGTGTGTGTGAGAGGGGGCATAGGGGGTCGTACATGGTCGTTCAAGCGAGAAAAATATTGGTAATGTTTGATGGTGTGATCTTTTGGATGGGGTTTCAGGGCCAAGGGGAAACAGACTAGAAAGGGCTTGCCAATATCAGGGGAAAATCCGCTCCGTGATAGAATTTAAACTGGTTTTGTTTTATTTACATGTTTTTACTTGCTATGTACATCGCCTTCTTATTCCCCTACTTCTCCTCAGGCAACTCCCCAAACCGGTACTGCGCCCAAGCAAAACTAGCCTCGTGCATCGTCCACGTCTGTCTTCCTCGGTCCCCCCCCGCCGCCCCAGCAGCGATATACAACGGCATCAAATGATCCATCCAAGGATGCGCCTGTCTCGCGTCTGGCCTCTTCAACACCCTGACCATTTCTTCTTTCCTCTTCTCAGCATCAGGCTGCTCGACAGCCTCCTTGAGGGCATTGTCAAACGACACGGCGTACGGCATGGGTTGAGGCTGCCCGAAGGCGAGGCGCATGTCCCGCAGGTTGTGGACCGTCATGCCTGTGCAGATGATGACAATGTTTTGCTCGCGGAGGGACTGGACGGCCTCGCCGAGGAGGAAGTGGGCCTGGGGGTTTTCCGAGTTGAAGAGGGACACCTGGACGAGGGGCACAGCCAAAGGGTTGGAGGCCGGGGGGAAGGCCACGTTGAAGCCGGAGAAGACGCCGTGGTCGAGGCCGCGGGAGAGGCCTCTGGCGCGGATGTTGGATTTGGCGAGGAGGGAGATGATGTGGGAGGCTAAGGAGGGGGAGCCGGTGGAGGGGAAGGTTGCTTTGTAGAAGTGAGGGGGGAAGCCGTAGAAGCTGGATTATGTTAGTGACATGATAAGTAAGCAGGGGGTGGGGTGGGGGGTGGTACGGAGGGTGGCATACTCGTAGATGAGGTCGGTCTTTTCGGCGTTGTTGACGTGGATTTCGTCTGGGCCGACGTTTTCGGGCTGCCAGTGGGCGGAGAAGACTACCACGGCGGAGGGCTTGACTTTTTGGGTGATTTCCTTGCCGATGGACTGGAGGATGGGGTAGACGGGGTGGGTGGTGTTGTATTGGACGTCGGGCTGCATCACTGTCAATTATTTAGGTTGAACGAGGGAGTGGCAATGAGACTTACGCCGCCATGGCTAAAGAAATACACTGGTGCTTTTGGCATTTTGGGCGGTTGTGAGATTGTTGTCGTTGACGAGACCGATGGGGTGGTGGAGAGGGTCGCTAGAGGCGCGGTGGTTGGAGTATTAAAATAAGAAACGGGCAAAAAAGTCTTGAGCTTCGTCAGGATTTGTGGCAAAGATAAAAGTGACAACGCCGGGGAAGACGCACTCATAAGAAGAGCTACGATGATCACAATAGAGGGCAAGATGAAAAAAGCTGGGCGGCGAAGGACCCAAGTGTCGAACATGGTGAGCTTCTTTCTTATCAGATCTTGGGGTGAACACAACTGGCTAGATATATATAGGCTGCATAAACAAGTAGGGGGTGAGGTTTTACTGAGTGTGTACAGAATTTAGCGTCAGTAATCTAGTTTACACATTCGGCACCTCGCTCTCCCATCGCGCTTTCAAAGGCTTTGGTAAGAATCCATCGAAATTTCGTAAGCAACAGTTCCCTTTTCGAGCGGCATCCTGGAGAGACGACGTTGTGAGTGGAGAAGGAATCACGCCACGCAAGTCGGGAGTGTTGTCTGGGATTTGATCTGACAGGCGGGCAAACAAAAGGCTTGTCAGGCGTGGCACGGGCCATTATTTGATTGAATGCGCTAACAATATTTGCAGCGAGTAGTCATAGAGAAGAGTTATGGAGGACAGCCCCCCCCCCACCTTGTTCCGACACGGGATGCCCCAACGAACAAAAATCCGGGGTCCGCTTTTTCGACAGCACCAGTAACAAACAACAAGATGACATCCCTCATTAGACAACCGCCCCTCCTCTTCCCTGCAACAGCCAGGCACACGGCCACGGTCATTTTCATCCATGGCCTGGGTGACACCGGTCATGGTTGGGCCTCGGCGGTCGAGAACTGGCGTCGCCGGCAGCGTCTCGATGAAGTCAAGTTCATCCTGCCTCATGCTCCTCAAATTCCAATCACCTGCAACTGGGGAATGAAGATGCCAGGATGGTATGATATTGTATGTAGTTCTCTTTCACTCCCTCTCTAGTTTCATTTCACCTACTGACCGAAGAAACAGCACACGATAGACGGCAACGCCGAATCCCTCCGAAAAAACGAAGATGAGGCGGGCATTTTGATCTCTCAGGCCTACATTCACGGCCTGATCCAGAGAGAGATTGATGCCGGCATTCCAGCGGAACGGATCGTTGTCGGTGGCTTCTCCCAGGGCGGCGCTATGAGTATCTTTGCAGGCTTGACCTCCAAGGTGAAGCTGGCTGGCATTGTTGCTTTGTCTTCATACCTGGTCTTGAGCCTCAAGTTTGCCGAGTTGGTACCAAAGCCTCAGGTGAACCAGGACACTCCCATCTTCATGGCTCATGGCGATTCGGACCAGGTGGTGAACACACAGTTGGGCAAGAAGTCGTATGAGTTGTTGAAGGAGATGGGGTATAAGCCCACGATGAAGATTTACCCGTGAGCCTCACATCGCCTTTGTCCCATAAGAGTCGAGAAAAGCTAACTGTCTTATTAGTGATATGGGTCACTCGGCGTGCTTGGAGGAACTGGACGATGTCGAGGCCTTTTTGAGGCAAAGACTCCCTGCCTTGGGCAAGGAGGAGAAGCCTGAGTTGTAGTTATTAAATGTTGAGTGTATCCGGCACGGCGCAAAGAGGTATTAAGAAGAAAAAAAACCTGCTTCAAAAACTTTGTTGGCCATCTGATGAAGTTGGAGTCGTCAGCCTCATCACCAGACCTGCTCAGAACAGCAGGCACATGTCCACATGTTTGATGTGGTGTCGATCTGAAGAATGATCCTGCAGCGGACACAACGTCTGTGCAACCCCACGGCCGCTATCTTATCAGACCCTTGACCGCTACGAGACCCGCTGTTGGCCCGCCGCGCATCACAAGCAAATCCACCCCTGTAAGCCACTTTGGTCCAGTACTCGACTCGAGGCAGCGCCGTTTGTTGCCTTGAATCTTTTGACATCTCTGACGACGACATCGCTGGCGCTGTTTTCTCCGACTTTTGTCATTTCCTTTGGGATTTCTGCTGTCGCATATCTGTATTTCTGGTCTTTTCTTCTGAGAAATCTGTCCATAATTACACCTTTCCGTATTGTATCAAAGAAACCAACCTTTTCAACTTCAAGAAACACACCGCCCCACCTACGTTACCATCTTCCCCTCTTCCCCGGGAAGACTCCCATCCGCTAAGATCGACGGGAACCCGCCCGGGCGTCATCCCCAATAGGTGCCCGAGTAAATAAACACCTGATTCGACCCCTCACCTTCACCGCAGCCACAAAGCTCTTGCGTGGTGACTGTCATAAGGACGGAACAAGAGCAAAGCGCAAAATTTGGAAAACGGCGAATGATACGGGGATAGGAGACCAACTTCAACATGCAATCTTCCTCCCATCCCCCGGGGATGCCACAACGGCCACCCTCCCCCTCCCCAAGCCAACTTCCCCCCATCCCAGGCTCGCCAACCTACTCCTACGCCTCCACCGCCCAACCCTCCCTCTCCCAGTTCCACCTCCCCTTACCACCCCCTCCCCGACCAGCCCACGCAGTCCTCACCAAAGCCGACCTCGAAAGCTCCCAAACTGCCTACGCCGATTTGCTCACAACCGCCAAAGCCTACCGCCTCGCCCTCGCTTCCCTGTCCACGGCCGCCAGCGCCTTCGGCTCCGCCCTCGAAGCATGCGCCCGCCTCAAAGAAGCCCGCGCCGAACCGCTCGGTCCGATCAACCCAGGGTTGTTATCAAACGGCAACACAGTCGGCGGCTCGCTCTCCAGCTCTTTCCACGCCGGTGGCGGCCCCCAAGGCAGTAACAACGCCAACCCCCCACCGCATCAACCTCAACAGCAACGTCATGAGCAAAAACGCCTGCACGGCTGACGCCCTCTTGACGGTGGCTGGTCTGCAGCACCTGGTCGCAAACCACAAGCACATCCTCTCCGAGACGGTCTACCGCTCTTTTGAAGTGCCCCTGCTTCACGAGCTGGATAAATGGCGGGGCGCGGTCGAGGACGAGGAGGAGAGCTATGCGTCTGCCGTGGCGGTTCAAAGCAAGGAAATCAACCGCCTTGAGAAGGAGGGACTAAAACTCCACAGGCAGAAGAGGAGGGATGTGAACATGTTTCGGAACCACCTTGTCGAGCTGACCACCAAACTAGACGGGCTGACGTTCTTGCACGGGGAACACGCGAGGACGCTGCTGAGGGAAAGTCAGGAGACGAGTGCGAGGATTGTGGAGGCGAGTTGCTCTCTTGTGCGGGCAGAGGTGGACATCTTTGAGAGCTTGGCACGCAAAGGGTGGACGGGGGGTGGGCTGGAGGAGGTT